AAATATTACGGTTATTGGTATTGTTATATATAATTTCATTATTTATATAATCATATCACATAAATGATTACAGATAAGAAGAAAGGCTTCAAACCAAAGATGGCTGACATGCAGCAATACACACATCTGGCCTTGTATCGTTTTTCGCATATTACGATAGAGCAAGAGTTATCATGGGAAGAGTAAAGCGGACCGCGCCAGCATTTGTGCGAGGTGTCGGCGCACTCCGATGCATTGATCAACAAACTTGATGGTTACAGACAGAAATGAATCAAATTAAAAACATTCCTCATCAAACTAGTCATATAATTTTTCCTTTAAATTTTTTCCCCACATCTAGCCGTTAATGAGACATGAACACTCTTAGGGTTCATAATAGGGAAGATTAGTTACAACGTTTTCGTTTATTATAATTTTGCGAGTAAGCGATCCGAGATACGAAAAAAAGTTCGCATCAATATTGTGGCCCAAAAAGACGGTTATCCCAATTTGCATCAGCGTTCCACTTTATCTCCCCCCCCCCATTTCACCCTTTTTGAACCTAACAACACCATTATTCATTATTTACTTTAAGAATTGTGATCGCCCAAGAAGAAATCCAATATTCAACTGGTAATGAATTAAGTTAAATTCGAGGGTGGTGTACCCCCTACACCACTTTTTTCGAAAAAAGTAAAAACCCGTATTTTTGACGTTTGCTCGCTCGTTTAATAGCCATTCATACTATTGAAATACGAGCGTTATTTTTTTTCACAAAATTGTTTTGGATTTGAACCCCTATCATTTTTTTGGAATTGACCCTATTCAAATGCAACAAAAGCCATTTTTCATCATTTTTCTTAAAGATTATCATGCATTTGGTTAAAGTGGCTGTAGTGGTCACGCGAGGAGTGTGTGGCTCCGGCGGTCATCCAAGCCGAGCAGCGTTCAGTCTGCCCAGTACTCGGATGGGTGTCCGCTTAGGCACACCTAACCGCCTTAGGACTACAGTCGCTAGGCACGAATGTAGAGAACCACTGTACCCATTGAGTCAGTGTGACCAATGGACACAGTGGAATCCCTGCATTATCGGTCGGCTGCATGACTGAGGTTTTCCATGGTTTCCCTGGCAGTTCAATCCTGAATGGGGTGCAGTTGGGGATAAAGTAAGTCGGCCCATGGTAACGCAGATAGGGAAGGGAACAAAATGTAAAAACCCGAGAGAGTATGCATGTCGAACCAAAAATAAAAATATCATGCATTTGGTTTCGTTCTAAAATTTTGAATGCCAATATATGAAACCGTCAATGGTCCTGAAAACCTGTCTATTTCGGAGCTTGGTTTCGCCCCCTAAAAATCTTTATCCGCAGAAAAAAAATACGTATACTTTAGATTTTGATGGGGAATAACATATTTCAAGCTCATCGAAATCGGTGAGGGACACTCGGGACGGTTTCCTTATCAATAGAATATAGTACAGCCGCATGGCTGCAGTCGCCTACTTGTTACTTGCATTTTACAATGAAAAAATGAAAATAATGGCAGAAACTTGGAGCCAATATTTTATATTGGTATTTGGTGGAATCACTCATTTGTTATACATATTTTGATTCATTGAGATGAATTCATCGAGATGAATATAAAAAAAAAACAGAATAGAGATTTTGAATGAAGATTTACATACAATGTTAAATGTCTGACATGCTTCCGAGACTGACCACCCAATTGTGCGAATGTAAACCGTTGTAATTATAAGAGAAAGCTACATGTCAAATTTCAAATTCATACCTGGATTTATGTTAATATTTCGAAAGTTAGAATGCGTACAAGGAAATTGAAGTCGAAAACTGAAAAATGGAAATATCTCGAAAACTTTGTATAAACGGCTATCCATATGCTGGGTAATTGAGATAGAAGACGCAGAGGCGAATATTTTGAATGAATGGTTATTAATATTGGTTGAGTGGTTTTCGAGATAGTTACGGAGATCTGAAAGCAAATCGATATTTCTCCAAAACCGATGAACTGATCAAGTTAAAATTTTTCAGAGAATTAGTTTAAATGAATATTACCTATCTGAAAAAATTTCTAATTGTTTGGAATTATTTAAGCGATTTAGTGAGTAAAAAATTAATCTCCAAAACCTCCGAAACCACCAGACCGTCATCCGTCAATACGAACATTGCCACCAAACTTTAAATTTTTACACGGAGAGAATTAAATAGTAGACATTGCTATGTCAGTTTCCGACCATGGTAGATGTTACCATGGCTTAGTAAGCATTACCATGGACATGGTAAATGTTACCATGTTCCATAGTAACGGTTACTATGGAGCATAGTAAACTCTTCCATGGTAATAGCTACTATGGACAAAGGAATAATTACCATGTTACATAGTAGAGTTTACCACGTAACATAGTAGAATTTACCATGTAACATGGTAAATCCTACTATGTTACATGGTAAATTCTACTGTGTTACATGGTAAGTCCTACTATGTTACATGGTAAATCCTACTATGTTACAGAGGATGTTCCTGCATTGGAAAATATGTGGGACGTTTTCAGTCAGGCTTATGCTAGACTTAAAATATCCCAAGGTCATCAACTATTGATCTTGAATTGTTTATACATTGATGACTTTTTACTTATGTATGAAAAAGAAGAATTAGTGCAAAAAAATTCATTGTTTATTGTTAATTTTTGTTCTAAGATGAAAGAAAAACGCTTCAAATCGAAAAATGGTCTAGTGTCCTCAATTTTAAAGCTAAACAAATTTTTTTCTCCAAAATTTTCAAACAATATGTAGAATAAGAATTAAGAATCGTTTTTTCACAAATAGAGCTGGCGAAACCATCTTCCGCAAACTCAATTTCAATTTTTCTTTCCGTTATTTTCAACTCAGAGTACTCTTTTTGACGTCTCAACTTTGCAGACTGGGGGTCAGCGAATTTCAGATTTTTGCGGACCTCCAGTCTGAAAATTTGAGGGGTCAAAAAGAGTAGTCCAAGTCGAAGATAACGAAAAAAAAAATTGGAATAAAAGTTGCGGAAGATGGTTTCGCCAGCTCTATTTGTGACTTTCGATGCTCTAAGACCCATAAAAATTATTTCATTCGAAAGAGTGAAAAATTTACTTCAAAAGTTGTATCAAACATTTTTTTTTCAGACCAACCCCTCTTACACTAATTATCAAAAAACGCGAAAAACCGAAAAAATTGATATTTGCATGAAATTTTGGAAAACAAATTTTTTTGAGTGTGGGTTTCACTTCATTTCAATGGATATTAACCATTCATGAAAGAAAAAACGGGTCGAAAATTTTGAGGTACAAAAGCGCACCGGGTATTTGTAGAACATATGACTTAAAATCTTCAACGCATGAACAATTCCAATAGGTCACGATTCCATTGCATAGTTGGGAGGAAAAAGTCAATTTCTGTTTGAATTTTTCTCTTGACATTTTTTTTCTGTTGAAATTTTTTGGCTCAGATTTTCCAAGTTTTTTCCACTCGGATTCTATAATGCAAAATGGAACGCAATAGAACTGGAGAAACTTGGAAAATTTGTGCCCAATAATTTTAATAGGAGAAATGTAAAGGAAAAAGTTCCAACAGAAATTGAAAATCTTTTGACTCCTTGCTTTCAAATATCCAATAGAATTGGCGTAAAATATAGATAGATTTTCCGATAGAATTGAAATAGAGATCCTATAGGAATCCCATAGGATTCCTATAGAATTTTGATAGAATTTCATAGCGAATTCGCTAGGCTTCCTATTGGATTTATTGATACGTGTAAATATGTACATATATATGCGTACGTATGTATGTATTACTTTGGAAAACAAAATTGGGAAAGAATGTATTAATCTTGATTTACTGATTTACAACAGATATTATCTTCCCTCTTCTAACACAACCCCTCAAAAGGAAGCAATATAGAAACGTATAGAAATTATGGTGAATGACTCGAGATTTCTAGAATTTAATGAAAAATGGATAGAATGTCCTAGAATTTCCGGGACTGCTCGAGAATTCAGGCACTTTCTGTAAATTTGGGAAAAATCCAAGGAGTTCCTAGGAATTTTGAGGCAATTCAGAGAATTTTTAGGAATTCGGAGGGGATATAAGAAAATCCTAGGAATTTCGAGAAAATTTAGAAATTTCCTATAAGTTTCGAGCCAATTCAGAAAGTTTCCAGAAAATTCGATAAATTTCACAGTTTTCGCTGTGTATCATCGGAACATTTGCTATGTACATAGTAGGATTTACCATGTAACATAGTAGGATCTACCATGTTAGCATAGTAGGATTCACCATGTTAACATAGTAGGATTTACCATGTAACATAGTAGAGTTTACCATGTAACATAGTAGAGTTTACCATGTAACATAGTAGAATTTACCATGTAACATAATAGGATTTACCATGTAACATAGTAGGATCTACCATGTTAACATAGTAGGATTTACCATGTTACATGGTAAATTCTCCTATGTTACATGGTAATCTTTCCCATGGACATACTAATTATTACCATGAACATGGTAATTTCTACCATGTCCGACATAGTAAAGTGATCCATGGTCCATGGCAGTGTTTCCCATGCGACATAGCAGAGATTACCATGTTTGATCAGTCAAAAACCCGTTTACTATGTCAACATGGTAATCTCTACCATGGGCATGGTAAATTTTACTATTTAATTCTCTCCGTGTACGTCTCAGACAATTCTGTCTTTCATGTCATTTACGAGCAAAATCAGAAAATGAGAAAATCGACCGATTGCGATGCTTGTATTTGGAAGCGACAATGCACAGAAAGAAGAAATTCATTAGATTTAACGGAAATGTGGATGATTGCAATTATTCATTGGAAGATAATGTAGATTTTTCAAACTAAGCTAACAAACAATGAGAGTTGACTACATTGATTTTATATTTTCACTAGGGAATTAAAAATTCATTTTTTTCTATCTCCTATTCATTTTTATAATTAGCATAATTGAAGTAACAAACCGTGAATTAATTACAGGAAACTTGGAAGTTTTAGATTCCCATCTTCTAGGACTGTTTGGTGGTAAACTTCTTGTCTCAATACTATTCTCTGAATAATCCTTATCACTATCAGAGCTTTTAGAATCACTCCATGTGCTCCAGCTCTTAGCATTTGCCGAGCATATCTCCCGATTCCTGAACGTCTTCATGGACTTGTCTTCACTCTTGCACCTAGAGGATAAAAATCAAACCAAAATTGAAAACAATAAAAAAACATTGAGAAACCTGCATTGTTTGTAGAATATATCCTTTTGATAATTCATCGAAAAATACCAGCCGCCATACAGTTACAAAAAGAGGGACGAAAAAAATTAGTGCGGAAAATAAATTTGAAATAAATTAAGCGAACCACTAAAAAAATAATCCAGTTATAATTACTGGAAGTTGGAGTTTCTCCTCGTCAAAAAACATTTTTAGAAAAATTTTTCAATATGGATTTCTTCTAGCATTCAACAAATAAATTAAACAAGTAAATAAATGAGAAACGTACCTGTAAGTAAGCAAATCCTGGTCCTCAGCCAACCCGGCAAAATTTCCACATCGAAAGATAACAGGACTATCAGTCCTCGAGTCCTCCAGATGACACTTCTTCCCCATCAACTTCAGCTCATTGTTCTCATGATTCTTCCACTTTTCATCACATTTGAATTTCTCGACTCCAAGAGAGTCCAAAGTCTTTTCATCATCAGCTCTCCTCTTATCACCATTATTAATTGTTCTATTATCCTCACCCAAACAATTCGTTAAGTTCTGGAGTAGCAATCTCTGTTTCCTCTTCAAGTAATCCAACTTCTGTCTAAATTGCTCATTTGAGAGATGATGAATTTGTCCGTAATCAGGAATGCTCTCGATGAAATCAATAAAACTTTCTACATTACTCTCGTCCGAACTCCCAGGGTCAGTGCGATTTGAGTCTCTATGACTGGATGGTGACGCAAAATTGATTCGACGACTTTTGTACTCTTCGGTGCGTTTCGAGACTCCGTCCATTGTTGGACGTTCGTAGGAGGGTGTTGGCTGTCTGCTGTATGGGTCCACTGGGACTTTCACACATGAGTTGATGAATGAAGACCCTCTGTGTTCCATTCTCACTTTATCAATGGCTACTTCTACGTGGTCATCTAATTGATGGAACTTTATTAAAAATGATAAGAATTATAAATTAATGTTCAATGTTAGGGGACGGTGGGGCAAAATGATACATGGGGGGAAATGAAACAGTCGAAAAATGACTCACGCAAAACCTAGCGAATTCGCTAGAAAATTCGGTTGGAATTCTATAGGAATTCTATGGTGTTTCTATAGGATTTCGATTGGAATTCTATTGAAAAATTCAATTTGTTTTTTGCGCTGATTCTATTGGATATTTGATTTTAAAAAGTCAAGAGATTTCGAATTTCTGTTTGAATTGTTCCCTTAGATTTTTTCTATTAGAAAATTGATGCCCAAGGATTCTTGTTGAAAAATTCTCAAGGGAAAAATTCAAACAGAAATTCGAAATCTATGTATTGACTTTTTCTTGTCGAATATCGAATAGAACCAGCGCAAAAAACAAATAGAATTTTTTAATAGAAACTCTATAGAATTCCAAATTCGAATTCCAGAATTCGAATGTTTTCATACGTGCTGTTTGACGTAATTCAAGCAAAAAAAAATTTTTTTGTCAATTTTTTTTGTATTAACTTTTTTTTATTATTGGGAGTACTGATGGGAATATTAGGGGGGGGGGTAAAATGGACCGTGTGGGTAAAATGGACCCCCTATTTTCTTGAGTGATAGTGAGGGTAAAATGGACCCCCGTTTTTTTTTTCTCTTGATTCATTATTTTTGTCAATCAGGAATAAATATATAATAGACATTATTGCTGAAAGAATTTTCATTAAACTGCCGCACTGGTAGGAGGTAGGAGGATTTCTGCGCGCGAATAATTGAAAATATTAATAAGAGTCTCAATTCTTTTTTAGGTATGAAATTTTTAATAAGTGAATAATAACAAACAAGTATTTCTCCAGATCTATTTAACATGATTTGTACGAAATGCAGGTAAATTTTTTTCTGTAATTTCGACGAGGAACTCCAGAACATGAAGCGTGAGCCCACTGTTGACAATTGTCACACTGTATCCAGATTCCGCGTTTTGACTCAGAAAATAATTTATTGCAATAAATGCATTCGGCATCTTTTTCTTCATCTTTATTTTGAATCTTCTTCTTTTTTGTTGGATTTTCGTGTTTCCGATCTTCCAAATTCATGGCCAAATTCCTTTGATATTTGTCAGAGGTGATCACGGTGGTCTTCCCACGAGGGCGTCCTTTGCGTGGTTTTATTGGACTGATTTTCTTGACTGGTATCGGCAATATCTCTTCTGGTTGCACCTTCAACCGCCTCGTCTTACGAGCCTGCATCTCGACCAACATTGACCTGCCAGTATGAATTCCTCCTGATTGGTCTTCTGCCTCCTCCTCTTCTTCTTCCTCAGAGCTATCAATGATAATCGGACAATTAGTTCTCCTTCTTGGCCTTGAAAGAAGTAGGGAAGGCTGACTCGGGAAAGCAGAAGAATTATGTCTCATTGATGATGGTAGATCTCTTGAAGAGCAATGGGCGACGGGTTCAGATTCTGAAAGAGTTTCAGTCTCATCACCCGACTCTTGTGTCTCTTCATCGGACTTATCTTCATCGCAATCAGACAATGGTTGGAATGGACTGAGAGGACTTGATGGAGCATTGAACGCGACAGACAATCCACTGAATGATCGGTAAAGCATCTCCTCGTCAATGGTTGCGTCAGGCTCAGATTCTGATGGTGGAGGAACTAAATCTGGTAGAGGTCTATCGGTGACTAGAGAAGGTGCATAATCAGCATCGGAGAATACGTCTGGATTAAATGGAAGAATCCGTACACAACGAAATCCATTTTTGATATTCTCTTTTGTAGCTGCTTGTAGAAAAGCTCGGGACAAAAGTGGGGCAATTTTGTTCTCCGTCACAGCACATCCAGGATTAGCTCGCATCCATTCATTAAGTTCCTGGGTGTAGAAGGTTGATAAGGGCTTCATCACGCTCACGTCCAACGGTTGAAGTCTGTGAGTACAATGTGGTGGGAAGCAAATAATCGTAACAAAGTGACTTCGTGCATAGTCAATAGCTGGCAGATTTTTTGTGTGCTGGACAGCTCCATCGAGGAGAAGCAACACAGGACTATCGTCTGTTGGCTGAGTTTTGTCCACAAAATCGACTAGTCATTCGTGGAAAAGCTCGGTATTGATCCACCCTGATGGATTTGCTCTCCCCCAAGTACCTTCTACAGCTCCTTCTAACAATTTTTCCTTCATTCTTTTCCGAGGAAATATTAATAATGGTGGTAATGCCTCCCCTGCTGCGGAAACACAAAGTTCAGCAGTGATGTGTCGACCTCTGTCACTTGATATGACTTTCCCAACTTGGCGTTTGCCCTTTCTACTCAGAATCTTTGCGTGAGTCTTTGAATTGACACTATCAGCAGTTTCATCCACATTGTAGATCCTATCAGGAGAGAATCTTGGGCCCTCACTAGCACCCGCAGGCAATTCCATTTGTTCCTGGAGTAAATCGAAGAAATTGGCCACAACAATTTTGTTAAAAGCTGATGCTCGATACATTGAGACTGACTCTGGCTTGCGTAGTGACACTGTGCGATTTCTGTCCAAAAACCCTCTCATCCAGGCCCTTCCCGCCATCCCATTTCGAAAGGGATGGATGACTGAATTCTTTTCAGCTATTTGCCAAACCAGGATTCTGAACTCTCTGATTATGAGTCCATAGAGTTTTTCCTCTCCGTCTAATACGTATTTGACTAAGGCTGCTTCTTGGAGAGGGCTAAAAACAGTTTGGCGACTTCCCATACCTGCAAGAAAATATTCAAAAAGTAGTGGAAACGGACGTAGGAAACGAGCCGCTGGGGGGGAGGGGGGCAGTGATCGAGGAAAATTTACGAAATCGAATTCTCTGATTTACAATTCTTGACCAATTCATAATAGATATCTCGAGAACTAGTCGTTTTAGACGAAAATATGCAGAGATGTTTTCAGTGACTCATCAAATTCTCTACAAAAAATATAATGTCATCAATTTCTCTGAATTTTGCTACTTAAAAAAAAAATTACGAATAATTTTCAAATGCGTTTATTCTAAACTTAATTCTTTTGAAATTTGCACTAGATTGTTCATTGGAAAATCAGCAACTCTAATCGAAATTTGGTCCTAAAAATTAATGCAGAGTACTGAATACCTATTTATGAAAATTTTGTGATCTTAAATTAGTTCAGAAATATTTAGAGATATTCAGCAGAATAGATTTTACGCTTTCAATTCAAGGAATTAAACTCACAAATCTCGTCTGATAACTTTGCAACTCCACTTGAACTGATTTTTAATTGACTCTTTGATATTTTGAGGAAAAATTAAAATGAAACTTGCCTTTCTGACAAACCATATCCATATCTGGATATTGTTGATAAAGTTGGATTTTGCGTCTTAATGTTGACCTCGACAGATAAAATTCTCTTGATGCCTCACGTAATGGCATACCATTTACGCAAGCATATATTGCTTTCGCCATGGTCTGAGGATGCCAATTTTGACGATTTGTTGTCCTCTTGCGTTTTTGAGGCATCTTTATTTGAATGACTCAACAACAAATTCACACATTCAACAAAAATATTGAGCAAATAGAATTTCTTTTCCTCCACAACAAATAAGAATTAGACTCGACTTATTCAAAAAATTGACCTAACGTGATGTCTTGGAACAGAACACTGCTTAGAATGAACAAAAATGTGGGGGTGAGCTATAAACATTGCTTGTTCTTTGAAAGCGGTCATTTAATTGGCTAAAAAAGGGGAGGTGAGAAAATTTAAAAAATATGGGGCTGAGCAACAAAATTGGTCTGTTTTTTAAAAACCGCAATTTGATTAGCTGCTCTCGTTGTTCTTCGTCTTCATTGCGCATGCGCGGCATTATATTGTCAGGGGGATCACGAGGCGTTCAATGACGATCGAAATTCGAAAATGCAGTTAAAAAATAGTTACAAGCAAACAACACTTACCTTTCACTAGCCTGTTAAAAAAAAAAGTCAGGAAAAAAAAAATTCTCTGAGGGGGGGTCCATTTTACCCACAATACCCGCATATTTTTCATAGAGCAGACGCGTTACGAGCATTTGGGTGGTAGTTTTTGGGGTTAAGTGTCAACTTTTTAAGTGACAAAAATTGTTGAAAGACTGGATTTCCCTTATGGGGGCCATTTTACTCCCCTCTCCCCTAATTTTCTATTCGTCTTATAATTCAATTGATTAGATATTAGACCGATTACACTTTTCTTTTTTAATTCGATGGAAATTCAGCATCACATTTTCCTTTTTCCCCCTCTGTGTCTCATATCCGCCTGGGCCTTCCTCTGGACTTTGGATTTTGCTGTTTCGTTTTGTTTTTAACTAATCCACTGATAAAATCTTCTCCCTTCTAAACTTCTCAATAATTTTTCATTCTACTAAATGGAAAATTATTGTTCTCATTAGTACTCTCAAGAATCCTATTTTACTAAAGATGCAAGAAACGTGAAGTTATTTTATATCGAAATATCTCGAAACTGCCTGACCGCTAATCCTCAATTTTGATTGGTAAATGAGTCACGTGAAGTAGTCGCTGAAAAAAATCCCCGGTATTTTCAAATTCTTCAAATGGCAAAATTTTTTTCTGCGTCATATTTTTCATTTTTTCATGTGAAGTTTATCTTTATATCAAAACATAGGGGAGGATGGGGCAAAACGGTCCCCCTTCAATCGTCAATATTTTCCGATTCAATAATCCGATTGGGATGAGTTAGAGCTCATTTTGAAGAATGAAAAATTATCTTCAAAATGAAGTTGAAACTGGGAATTTTCACAATGTTATTCACAAGTTATTGACAATTGAAGGGGGGCCGTTTTGCCCCACCCTCCCCTATCTAAATTGCCTAAATGTTGATCATGAGAAAAAAACATAGTATTTCTAAATTTTTTTAACACAAATTATTCTTCACTTCCCAAATTTTAATTTTTTCATATTTATCATACGCACAAATGATCAATTCTTGCTTCTCAGATTTTCATACATAAATTCTAAACTCTACAAAATTGATGAAAATTCTTCGGTTTCCCAAATAATTCGAGAAAAATCTTTGAAGAGCTACGGTTATCTGGAAAACTGGAATTTTCCGAAGAATTCAAGAAATTTTTTCAGTTTTCACGGAAATTAATTCATGACCTTCCCCTCATTTTTCAACAATTACACATTTTAATCAGATCATTTTAAAAAGTAAAAAAAAAAGAATTAATCGAAAATTAAAAATTATTTATTGATGTTTCACTCTTCATTGTTTTCATTCTCTTAATTCTCTTTAAGTCATTAGCAATATTTATAAAACATCTATGAGTATATGAAGTTTAATAAATTCAATTTCTTCATTTTCACAACAAAAAAATAAGCGCGCGCGAAACCGCGCGCACAGATCTAGTAAAAATTAATAATAAACAAAAATTGATAAAAAAAATATTTAACAAAACAAAATTTGTTTGCTTGAATTGCGTCAGTCATTTTTCGACTGTTTCATTTTGCCCCCTCTCCCCTATAGCGATACAAAGACGATCATCTTAAGAACGAATGCATGTAGAAAAAAATATTTAAACACGTTTTTTGTTGTCAAGAAAATTATAGACAAAAGATCCATAACATACCAATTATCTCGAGAGCAAGGGTTCCAACAGAAACATGTCGACGTGTCTTTATGGATCAACGTCACATTACCTATAAGAATTATTTTGATCTTAGCAACAAAGCACACCATCAAGCGTGAATGATATGCGTCGCTTGAGTCAAATTTCCTTGTTGAAAGCAGAGCAATTCATGATGGAAACTTTTTTATGTTTAATTGTAACAGTTTCATGTTGATAATTTTTAATTTGCAATTTTTTTCGATTCAAATAAAATCAGTTTGAGATTATACTTTTTCTGTCCGTGTAGGATCAGTTCTTACCGGGATAGTCAAACTGGCTGACTGGAATTCTGGTTAAAGCGAGTGCAATAGGATAAGTGGATTATGGTGTTCTATTAATCATTCTTTTCAAAATATTTGTGATTCCAAAAGTAGTCTTACCTATCTGGCGGAGATTCTTGGTCTATACGGGGACTCTTAGTAAACTGAGTTCTCGAATATTTCCAGGGGAGGATCGATTGCACTGGGTGGTCGTGGGTCGTGGCCCTACGCATCACCATGGTGACCTTACAGTGACCCTTATTTTTTTTTGTGCGGTAGAAATATTCATTCATGGTAGGTATTAACGCAACAATACTGAGTGGAACATCTATATTATGGAGTTGGATGGTTTTGATATCTTGTGTTTTTTTCTTATTTTTTCTATTTTTGGTAAAAAAAAATGGGAAAAAATGAACTTGATTTTCTGATTATCTTATGAATATGCCTAGAACTAGTTATTTAAGAGGGAAGAAGTGAAATATATTTTTGAAAAGTTCCTAATCTATTAAAAAAAGTTCGTTAATATCTTTGGATCACCTACTCTTTATAAAATTTTGAAATCCATATGTTTCTATTCTGTAATAAATTTATATTGTTCTGAAATCTACGGTTTATTATTCATCAATTATGAAGCCATAATTAAGAATAGTGTAATGAAGAATATTCAACACATATGAGAACATTTTCTAGGACATTCTTGGAATTCTGTTCGAAAATTGATCAATTTCTTGCTCATTTCTATTGCAAATCGTACTCGATCCTTTTCCACGCATTTCTTATAAAAATTATATACATTTTCGAGAAAAAATAATCAATAAAATTCTATGTTTCTGTACAAAATTATATATTGAAATTTGTTCCATAGAAATACCCGGGCATACATTTAAATTTCAAATAAATTCTACTTTCTGTTTATTTTTCAATGACAGGCAGAACAAAGTACGGTGGAAAAGATTCACAAAATTAATAAATTGCATAGAGAAAGCAAAATCTGTGGATTTTTCGGTTGAATATTTTTATGAAAACGCATGAAGAAATATAAATATTTCTAATAGAAATTGGCAGAAACATAATAATAATTATTATTTTTATTACTGCTTATAGTAATCAGTGCCCCATTGCAGAGGGGAAGAGATGAAATATACATAGTTCGTACCGAATGTGTACATAAAAATATGGAAATCGGCAGAAAAATAATAGATTTTCTTTTGCTAGAAAATTCTGTTTGATTCCTTGGTCTTCTATTAGAAATTTTATTAGTTTTTCCGCATTTCTACTGAAAAATCTGCGGCTTTGCTGAACTTTTTTTCGAGAGAAATCTTCAAGAGGCAATGGAACTTGCCATCGGAGTAGAAACTGGAGTCGAAGTTTATTTGTCGTCAGACGATTATTCAGTAAAGCCCAAATTCTTACTTATAGATGTCAAGATTATTGATGACGTAAGAATTTGGGTTTTGCTAAATAGTAATCTGACGACAAAAAAACTTGGAATTCAGTTTCTACTCGGATGGTAAATTTCATTACAATCCTCTTAATAGAAAATATTTCAATAAAATAAGTTGTACAGATTTTTTCATACGATTGGCAAATGAACAATGAAATTGACAAAGGAAATTCAATGGAATTCTTCAGTGACCGCCCTTGTTTTTCCTCTGAAATTTTTTCGTGCGTGTAAATTGCAAATTTTCTTACAACAAATTTTTTGTTCATGAAAGATAAAATTTTGTAGTTGTTGATTTTTATGTCCTTGTCAATTGATCTTATGTCATGTTTATTATGTATAGAGTATTTTGAGAGAGCGTATAATAAATACCGGTACCTAGGTGCTTATATATAGACCAATACTGTCCAGGGAATAAAGTAAACATGGCGATTGTCGGTGAATCGTCAGTGCATTTTCGTCTGGTCTTTTCGAATATTTGGAGAAGTGGTGTTCCAGGTCTCACAAATTACAATGTGAGGGTGAGGAATCATCATTGTGAAGCTGGTGTCAATGATAATACTAAAGATGTTATCATAATTGGAGGCGGAATGGTTGGAACGGCTTTAGCAGTTGCTTTAGGTTAGATTTTCCTTTGAATTTTAAAATAGAACTGATCAAAATTATACTTATCAACTAAATAATCCAACGTTTGAATAATGAATATCTATATCACATAATCAAGAGGGGAATCAATGAATAATCTTACAACGAAGTTATATTAAGACACGATTGATCATGGAATAATTAATAGCGCTTTTCTTGAACTGTTTTTTTTTCAAACTTATCTGAATGTGTTTCTTCAAAACTACTTTTTTTGTTTATAATTTTTACATGTTTCTTGAGATTTGGATTAACCTCTCAAATTGAACCCTAACAGGCAAGGGGGGGGGGGGAGGGGTTAGAGGTTAATCCTGGTTTCAAGAAACATGTAAAAATCTAAAACAAAAAAAATTGTTTTGATGAAACATACTGAAATAAGTTTGAGAAAAAGCGGTTCAAGAAAAGCGCTCTAAACATTTGACGTCCTTTACTTAAATTTAAAAATAGAAATTTTGAGCTAATAAAATCCATCGACGTCATTATGATCATCATTACCTAATTAGCGAGTATCAGAACGTTATGCTCATAACCGCGAAAAATACTGATTACACATGAGTTGAAATATAATGGAGCTGAAACTAGCAGAATATTCGTTATCGGAAAATTCAATTTAGGGGATATTTAAGTGTAGGAGAGTCAAATAATCATATATACAAATGTTTTCCAAGTGCGAAAGAGTTTATACATTACTTAAAAACATTTATGCATCCCTAGATTCGCCTAAGACAAATTTTCTGCTGTCGAATCTTTCACTAGTTTTAGCTTCATTGAAATATAATTTTTATCATTTAATTTAAATTTTTTAACGTTTTCTTTAAAAGTCGAGAAACAGAATTTTCTGGTTCTTGAAAAATATTTATTTAATATGAATAATGTGTACCAGTATTGAATTATCAAGGATTTGATTCTAAAAAATTATCATTATATCAAGACATCAGGAAATTATAAATTTTTAAGTAAATTAGTAATAGCGCTTTTCTTGAACCGCTTTTTCTCAAACTTATTTGAGTATGTTTCTTCAAAATTATTTTTTTTGTTTTAGGTTTTTACATGTTCTGTGTTCTATGTTTTAAGGCCGTCCAACAACGAAGGTTTTACGGGCCGTTATCCCCCTAGAGGGACGTTACTGAACTTCATTTTGAACAGTGATAAAGTAGATTTCACAATTTTTGGTCTTCAGTTTAAATCTTCTTTTGAATTTTCTTGAGATAGTTATAAATTAATTGACAGATATTACCCTTTGGTGATTTCATCAATTTGTAGATATTATATGAATAAATATCCAATTTATTCAAAGCTTTAACAAAAATGGTTCTTTCTTCTTTATATTTCGGGCAGATCCAGAAAATATGAGTTAAGGTTTCTTTGGTATTTGCATTACAATCACACATTGGAGATTTGATGTAGTTTTTTCTTGCTAAACTTTCGTTCAAATTAAAATGATTAGATCTCATGCGGTTGATTGTTGTGATCACTGGTCTATTCAAGTTGGAATATTTGAACCAGGGTGGTCGCCATCCCAAGTAGAATTTCTTGAAGTAATCAGATCCTTTATTATGTTCCGCTTGATTTTTGAGAATTCTTGAGGTGTCTTCACGCATCTTCTTATTAATAATGTAGTAAAAATCCGTGTATGGGATAAGAGTCCGTTGAAGTTCCCGAGTGGCAAGCCTCTTTTGCAAGTTTGTCAGCTTTTTCGTTACCTTCCAGATTTATGTGGGCAGGTATCCACATGAAGATGATTTCTATTCCCATTGATTTTTTAGCAACCCAGCTATTAAGTATTTCATAGATTAGGTAAGAGGGATTATTATAAGCAGAGAAATTCGCCATTGAAGAGAGGAAACTCAAAGAATCAGATAAAATAATAATCTTTTCTGTATTCAGATTGGGTGATTCGTTGATTGCAGTGAGTATAGCCGAAGCCTCAGCAGTGAATATTGATGCAAACGAAGATATTTTATGTTTGATTTCTACATTGAAGTCTGGAATATATACTGAGTAGCCTACATAATTTGCATCATCGTTTTTTGATCCATCAGTATATATTTGAGAATAGTTTTGAAGTTCTAGATTATGAAGCTCCTCTTGCAGAGTTTTTTCTGGCGAAGTCGATTTCTTGATCAATGAACCCTTGTTGAGAATTATTCTCGGGTCCGAGTTAATCAATTCATATGAGTATGAAAAATTACATGGTTGAGGTACAGCTTTAATTTTAGTTATGTGCGTAGTCAAATAGATAAATGATTGAAATAGTGGAAATCCATTCTCAATATTATGTATACCTTTATTAGAATTCAGGCGTAGTGCTGATCGTAGTGAGTAAAGTTTATCAAAGAGTAAATGCTGGGAATAGGAAAATACTCTAGTAATATATCTATTTGAAAGTTGTTTGATTCGGATGTTCAGAGGAGCTTCACGAGCCTCAGCCAACATAATATTGATTGGCGTGGAATTCCTATATCCAAGAGCGAGTCTAATGGCTTTATACTGAATTCTGTCGATTCTTTCCTTGTGAGATAGATTGGATGGCAATATTATTTGACATCCATATTCAATGGAACTTCGTATCAGACGATATAGTGTCAATAAACCACGAGGATCAGATCCAAACCAAGTGTTACGAAGAACACGTATAAGGGCGACGGTTTTAGTATTCTTCTCAGCTAAGTAGGTCAAGTGATGTTTGAAGGTTAGGCGATGATCAAGGGTGATTCCTAAAAATTTGACAGTATTTTCTGCTTTGAGAACTTGATTGCAAACATTAATTGAGTAGTCCGAGGGTTTAAAATTCTTTCTGGAAAAGATGATCAGGTGGGATTTCTCAGGTGATATGGATAACTTCCTTTTATTTAAAAATTGAGAAATTTTAGAGATTGATTTCTCAATTTTTCGTAGGGTAGTGTTGATGTCAAGACTTCGTTGAAATATGGCTACATCATCAGCAAATGAAACTATTTCAATTCCTGGTTCAAGAACATTTGGAAGCTTGGAGACATAAATGTTGAATAAGATTGGGCTTAAAACGCATCCTTGGCCCGTTCCTTTATTCAGAGGGTGCGGGTCTGAGAGATGACCTCCTACAACAAAATGAGCTCTTCTATAAGCAAGAAGGAAGTAAATGAAAGTTGCAATCTTGTACGGTATTCCAATGTCCGCCAAGTCTTGGTAAAGTGTGAGAGGATCTATGTGGTCAAAAGCTCCTTTTATATCGAGAAAAAAGGCGGGGGTGTATTCTCTGTTCGCAAAACCAGTGAATGCTTCCGTCGTTAATATTGCTAAGTTGTCAGTACATGATTTAAGCTTACGAAAACCAAATTGCGAAGGAGGAAAAATATTTTCATTTTCCAACCACCATGAAAGTCTACTGGAGATAATCTTTTCACATAATTTTCGGAAGCAATGAGCTAAAGTGATCGGGCGAAATTTTCCAGGTGCGGGTTTTGGGATGAGAAAAACTAAAAAATCACGCCATGCATCAGGAAATTTTCCTTCTTATAAAAGTTTGTTAAAAATCTTGAGTATAATTTCTTTGTATGATTTTGGGAGAGATTCCATTAGTCTATAATCAGTTTTGTCAAGTCCTGGAGAGGAGTCCTTGGTTTTCTTCAAAGCTGCTTCAAACTCCTTGAATGTGAAATCATTCTCAAGCGTGTCAGAGGATTTAAAGGGAATTTGAGAGGGTGGAGGAGGTGTATAGTCTTGAGGTAAATTAGGACAGAATTCCGTGATAAAATCTTGCATTTTTTCTGACGATTCTATATCTTGTTGAGGTATCAAGTTTGGGTTGTGTGAATTTCTATTTTTATACCATTTAATTTTTTTCCATATAACACTGATTGGAGTTCGATGATTAATTGATTCGCAAAAATTCTGCCAGCCTAAGATTTTTTGTTTACGTAAAGTCAACTTCGTAATTGCAACTTGTCGCTTCATAACAATATAGTTATTGAAAGTGGGATGTTTTCGAAAGGTAGAATAAACTTTTCTTCTTAGTGCAACAGCTTTAGAGCAGATTTCATTCCACCAGGGTGCTGGGGGAGTGCCTTTTTTGAAAGTGTTAGAATTTCGAGAGGAAGAATTTTGAGCGGGAAAAGTCTTTAGATTTGAGGATGCATGATCAATAGCTTTCATAATAGTTTCTATGACATTCTCATATTGAGAGGCTCCAGTTAAATCATCCGGGAAATTCTTGATGATTTCCTCTTTAGACTCAAGATATTCAAAAAATTTATTCCAATCTATTTTATCTTTTTTGATTTTGTGTGAAAAAAAATGATATCTCCGGAGTTTCATTGATGGTCAATTCAATCGGGTAGTGATCACTCCCCATTGCATCTTTTAGGACTTTCCAAGTGCATTGAAGGGAGATATTGGAGGACACTAATGTAATGTCTACTGCAGACGGATTTTCATTGGGTCTTGAGATTCTCGTTATGGAGCCATCGTTCATTAGGATTAAGTTTGAGTCATCCAATGCTTCTAGAAGCGAATCACCACTCTTGCAAGAAATACCACAACCCCAAACCGGAGAGTGAGCGTTAAAGTCCCCTCCTATTATTGATGCAAATGTATTAGGATAAAAATTAAATAAATTTGACCATTCTCGTTTAGAAATTTGGATTCTGGGTTTTTTGTAGACACAATATATGGCAAGATCTCCCTTAGTTGTAGATAAAAGAATTCCACGTATGTATAAATTATTTGAGATGTCATCAACATTTCGAATTTTCTTGTATTTTAAATTTTCTCTTATAGCGATGGCAATTCCTCCACCGTGCTGATCCTCAAAGTCCTTGCGATATAGAATGAATCCAGGAAATTTGAATGGAATCTCAGGTTTCAAAAATGTTTCAGTAATCAAAATGATATCATAGTTATTTGAAATTTTTTGTAAATCTCCCATTTTCTTCTTCATGCTTTGGGAATTCCATTGTAAAATACGAAAGGGATTACCTTGATTAATGTTGAGCTGGTTCATTATTATCGAGATTGTTATTAGTAAGAGGGGGATTAAAAATCTCTTGGGAGAGTGGATTTTGTTTTTTTGCAATGTTACTGTTGATTATAGGAGGAGGAGGTAAACTCGAGTTATTTTCATCAGGGGGTCCAATGGCACGATTGAATTACATGACACTACCACTGAGTTGAGAGAAGTCTCTGCTGATTCCTACTGCTGCAAGAAGGGGGGATAAATTTTCCACCATTAATTGAAAGAATTGTGTCATTCGAGACATCATAAGCTTAAATTCTTCACATCCTTGACAGGGTTGGAATGGACGAGAGGATTGTAGGGAATCTTGGTTACAGGGAGATTGATTCTCAGTTAAATTTGCTTTAGAATGATAAGATTTTCTCTTCATAATCACAGATTCATTGAATACTTCTTGAGGTCGGGCTGATGTTTCTTTAAATAAAGATTGTTCATCTTTTGGGTAATTCTGTTGGCGAACGGAGTGGATTCGACGACGATCGGTGATTTGGTAATTAGGATTGGATAGGTTATTATGTGAGTGGGAAATTGAGCCAGGTTGCTCTGAAAATTCTTCTTGTGATGATTCTGAATGAGATGAGATGTTGAGGTAATTTGACGCATTATCATTTCCTTGACGACGGGGTTGCGTTCGGCGATTCTGATTGTGGGAGGATCTTGGTTTAGACATTGGAGGATAGTGGATTATGTCAATGGGAGGTGGAGAGGGAGCCGCTGCTTGCGCGAAATTCATCGTTCCCTTGAGTATATCTCTTGCTTCAAGATAGGTAATGCCATTGATTGCTGCGTGTTCATGAATGGATTTTTGTCTCAAGAGTTCAGGACAATTGTCATCAGTAGATTCATGGTTATTTTTGCAATTAATGCACCTCGCAGGTTTGTTTAAGAATGGACAAGGGGAGTTGTCTTCATGTGCAACATTCGCACAATGGGAACATATTTTTGAGTTATTGCATTGGGCTTTTGAATGACCAAATCTGAGGCAGTTGGAGCATCTTTTTACTGGAGATATAAACGGATTAACCTTGAATATGAACCCATAGAGTTTCACACTTGAAGGGATTAATTGTCCTTCAAATTTGAGGAGAATAGTTTCTGAGGGTTTTTTAACAAGGGTTTTGTCAGCTTTGCGTGAGAAATAATCACAACGTTTAACTTCCTTAATAGATACGGAGCTATCAATATTTGATTTGATTTCGTCGATTGTCCAATCTTTGGGAACACCTTTAATTACTCCTTGTCTCATGATACACCATTCAGGGATGTAAGCAATAATCTTATTTTCTTTTAAGGATGGATGATTAATAATAGTGTGGGCTTCTTTACGTGATTGAAACGTGATGAGTACGGAAGATCCAAGTTTCTTTAAATCAGTTGACTGGGATCGGATTCCGATTTTATCAAGTAGTAAGACAACAGTTTTACCGATTGTCATGGGGTTTAGGTCTGATGCTCCACTTTGGGAATAATCCGCATGAAACATGACTTTATAGGATTTGTAATGATGGTGAGAGGCATAACGGTTGCTGAGAATTTCAGGTGGGATAATGCGACGAGTTTTAGGAGCTGATGTAGTTGGAATAACTTTTGGAGTCGGATTGTCTTGCAAAATGGGATTTTGTACAGTTGAAAGATGAACAATCTTTTCAGAGGAGCGATCATCTGAGTCGGAAGGATCTTTTGTACGTGGCCTCTTGGTGAGTCGTTGATTTTGAATGAGTGGTAGTGAGGAACTTGCCTGGGAGTTTCCTGAAACAGTCTGACCTGAATCTAGAATGGATTTGGGATGGTAGGGCTGGCTGCAGAGGTAGCAAGTGACATCACTTTTCGAGGGTGATCAGGAGAGTAGGGAATGTTATTTTGTATGCAATAGGCTCTGTATTCGTCCAAGGTAGAGGTCTTCGTTAGAATAACATCTTGATCGAAATCCATTTCATCATCTGAGTCACCGGAATCCATGAATTGAGAGGTAGAATTATTCTGGGAGGTGGGACGAAGATGGGAATTTTCATCGGCCTCATGTTGTGTTATCAATTTTTCAATTTCAGCATCGGAGATAATCTTTTTTGAATGATCCATTTTAGATAAAATGAAAGTCAATAGTCTCTTGTTTTAATAAAAAACGTTATGGGGGAGGGCAGAGACCGAAAAAAAAACGGTCTGCCCACCGAACAAACGCACCAAATTAAACAAATCAAACAGATTCGACTAATAAACATAACATTTAATAAAAAGGATAAATTAAACTAATTTTAAAGCAGCAATATGCCACAGATACTTTTTTCTTCAATTTTTGATTTGGTACAAACGTCTGTACTCGGTGGCAGTTGACAGTCGAATCAGGTTTTTACATGTTTCTTGAAACCAGGATTAACCTCTAACCCCTCACCCCCCCCCTTGCCTGTTAGGGTTCAATTGTTTTAGAGGTTAATCCAGGTTTCAAGAAACGTGTAAAAATTATAAACAAAAAAAGTAGTTTTGAAGAAACACATTCAGATAAGTTTGAAAAAAAAACAGTTCAAGAAAAGCGCTATAATTAATTGGTATCATTTTATCTTCACTTTTTTCAGCGAAAAATCGATGTTTCGAAGGGAAGAAAATTGTTCTTCTTGAAGGAAGCCAAAAACACAAATATGTTAAGAAGGAGAATTATTCTAATCGAGTCATAGCATTGAATAAACAAACACGAACTCTTTTATCGAGTGTTGGTGCTTGGAAGCATATTGAAGCTACACGTTTCACTCCAGTTCGCAAAATGCAGGTAATCCCTTCCAGAAATAACTGTGACTTATAAGTAGTAATACCCCAAAAGCTTCAAAATTATCAGGTATTTCCCGATAGCTTAGTTGCAAACTAATGAGGGTGTCAAGTTCTGTAGGTTAAAAATTTCAGATTGAGCTTGAGCGAAATACCCGATTAATTTTGAAGCTCGAGGGGTATTTGTCAGATGTTTTTTCCCAACCGGATTTTGGTCAATGAGACAGGGTGTTCAGCCGCCAGGGAAATCTGGAAAACCGGGAATTGTCAGGGAATTTGGTCTGCAAATGTCAGGGAAAATTCAGGGAATTACGACAACTTTCCGGAATTTTAACATTTGAAGCTTGTTCTCTCCAAGTATCAACATTTTTAGGAATTCTTCTGTTGACAAAAAACATTGTGCTGGAATTTGACCTCAAATTTACTTAGAAAGTTGGGATGTTCATATCTTCCCGTGTAATGAGACTGGGAACCCACAGTTTTTGCGGTTTTTCTATGGAAAATTCTAAATTCAGCATTCTACTTTTCAAAGGAATTCTTGCATATCAAGATGATGGAAATATTGGAAAAATACTCATTTCCAGCAATATACAAACTGCAAAAACATCGGGCGTCCCCACCTGATCCGCTAGAGAGATGTTAGCATCCTAATTGTCTAGACAAATTTTTGCTGTACGTATTTTTGTTGAAAAGTTGAGAGAGTGATCACCTCTTAAAAGGTGACCTCGCTAAAATTGCAAACTCTTTGAAAATTCCCTTAGCCGTACTTCCTTTATTGCGCAATTTCCATCCCTGGCGAATAAGGATCCATGTTGTAGCATGGATGTAGCATGGATGTGCATGGATGTCATTTTAAGGTGAAAAATGGGCCAAAAATGATTAAAATATAATTAAAAAATTATTTAAATGCTGATAGATGAACAATTGGTCCCAATTAATACCCATTAAGGCCCGCATGGAGGGATTTTTTTCTCGAGTGGCGATTTTACGCCCCCCCACTTTGCGGTCAAAGCAAGAAGCTTTATCCGAACCATAACTATGTCGGTAACTGCGGGAATGGCAGAAAACCAGGGTGACATATAAAAGTGGGGCTTGGAAAGGGCCCCGCAATTTTTGTTTCTTATTTTCTTCGGGTTTATTTTTTCCGGTAGATGTTCTCATGTTTCCCATAAAGTTTTCGAGAAATATTTCCAATTTTCGAGAGAATTCTCCGGTTTTTGAGAAAATTCTGGAAAATTCTCCAGTTTTTGAAAAAATTATATGGATATTTAGAGTTTTCAAACCAAATTCGAGGAAATTCTACGGTTTCCGAGCACGTTCGAGAAAATTTTTAGGTTTTCGAGAAAATTTTCCTATTCTCTGGAAAATTCAAAGAAATTCTCCAGTTTTCTAGAAAATTCCAAAAAAGCTTGGGTTTTCGAGACAGTTCTAGATCATTCTGAGGTTTTCGAGAAAATTCTAGTAAAATTCTTTGGTTTTTGAAAAAATTAGAGGGGGGGTGGGGTAATATGGACATTCGGGGTAAAGTGGACACTCAGAAATGTGCGAATTTTTTTACCCTGGCGAATAAGGATCCATGATGTAGCATGGATGTAGCATGGATGTGCATGGATGTCATTTTAAGGCGAAAAATGGGCCAAAAATGATTGGAATATAATAAAAAAAAAATTTTAATGCTGATAGACAAACAATTGGTCCCAATTAATACCCATTAATAGGTTATTTTGTATAATTAGGAGAAATTATTGATGGTGTGCTGTGTGGTAAAGAAGTTCAGATGGGAGAATGCCGCGAGATGGCGCCAGTGTTAAATTATCGAGTCGGCGGTAAACTGTCAGCAGTCGCAGACATATTTTTTATTCTATTTCACTTATGAATACTAGATAGGTTTGGGGGGGGGGTTGATTTGGGGGTTTATTAGCACTAACCCATTTTGCCCCATTTGGCGAATTTCGCAATACATTATTGTGGG